TCGTGATTGGTTACTCCTGGAACCAGACGTGTTCTGTAGAAAGTTTTAAGTCAGGCTATCTATGCACCTATCAAGAATAAAGGGAGCAGATGACGTCACATAACGGCAGGGAAACCCTACGTCCGTTCTAATCCACTCTGGGTTGTCAACTGTATTGACATCTAAAGCAATAGCAGACCTACCTGAAACTGCTTCTTGGCAAACCCCAGTTGCAGGATTACAGGACTCCTAGTGACATTAAGGTGACATAACCAAGAAACACAAGCCAACAGCAGGCCTGTTTTAATCATTGATACCACAGGAAATTTCAATGGGAGAACCTGGAACTTCATTTTGGAAATGAGTCCCACAAAATAAGGGCTTTCCTTTTATCGCTTAAGGAGCCAGAGGACCCAGGAGGAGCTGGAGGAGGCAAGGCAGCTGCAGGAGCTGTGTGCCCATCCACAGCCTCCCTGAGCTTGGCTGAGCACAGTGGACACAGCAAAGGCCAGGTCTCACTCACAGGAGGACTGCTGTTGGCTCTTGGTTAAGAATAAAGCCCTGATATGTTTTATATTCTTTCTACTGAATCCATTGTTTGTCCTCACAAATGCAGATCAATAAAGAGTATTTAATAACCTGCTTGTCTTACCGAAGTTTTGTCTTTGTTGCCCAAGCAGTTAATGAAGTATTGCATATTTGAGGGGGTGGGAACAGGATCCCTGGGGCTTGCTGGCCAGCTGAGTCTGTGGAACTCCAGGTTCAGTGAGACCCTGTCCACCAAAAGAGCACCAGGAAGACATAGAATGCCAGTCTGGCAGCCTCACGCATGTATGTGTGTGGGCGCGCTGTTCTTTCCTATCCTTGTGTGAAGGGTTTTTACTGCTGCTCTAAGCTTTTAAAATGGCTAGCGCACACATTTCTGATGGAGCCACTTTTGTAGGGTCCAGTGTAGCTTCTGAATTTACTCCCTGTGGTAAGTTCCTAGAGACAACACCCCTGGCCAGAAGAAGCACTAAGGCCTGGTAGCCTAACCAGAGAAGGGCTAGGCAGTTTTTTGGGACAGCCTGTTGGACCCTCTGTAGAGTCCATTTGCTGTGGTGAGTCGTAGTCATCGTCCGTCCGTCCCCCCAAGGGCCCTGGCTCATGCTAGGCCAGTGCTCATTCTAAGCCATGCTGTGCTGGGTTGCAAACCTATGCCTGGTTTCTCCCAGAAAAGGGTGTGTCCTGCTCTGGTTACTTGTTGAGTACTGATGAGATTGTAAACTTAAGAGTTTTGACCATTTATATGTGTAGGTATGTCAGGAGCCGTTTCCTTCTAGGATTATCGCAGGAACCATCGCCCTGGGGAGTCTGCAGAGAACCCCACACCCAAATTGGAGAGCTATCTGTTAGCGGAACCCGCCCCACATTCCAAACTATCTAGAGAACTAGGTGTGTCATCTCCTAGTTGTGACTTCCTGGCCTACGTGAACCATGTGACCAACGTGAACCACGCGGCAAGATCCCAGGCTCCTGTGCCCACCCCCCAACTCCTTACCCTATATAAGCTGTACCCCATCTCTAATAAACGGAGGCTCTGACAAACCTAGCATAGCCTTCTTCTCTCTTAGCCCATTTATCTTCCAGATAGTGCCTCTCCGTGACCCTGGAATAACTGACTGCAGGGTGGGTTACAACCCCTAGACTAAGTAACCCACCCAAAAGCGGTTTACATAGGTGTAAATTTCTGTCCCTCCCAATCCCACAGTCATTCAGTCACAAAGAAACAGAGGTTTATGTTAATTATAAATTGTTTGGCCTATTAGCTCAGGTTTATTATTAACTAACTTAATATTTTAAATTAATGTATAGTTCTTGTCTATGTTTAGCCATGTTGCTCGGTACCTCTTCACAGTTAAGATATTCTCATCTTGCTTCCTCTATGTTTGGCTGGTATGTACCTGCCTTTCTTCCCAGAATTTTCCTAATTTTCCTAGTCTGGTTGTCTCATCTATTTACCTCCTGCCTGGCTACTGGTCAATCAGCTTTTTATTGAACCAATATGAGTGACAAATCTTTCCAGTGTACAAGAGCGTTCTCCCACAGCAGATGTGTTTATTACAGCAGCCAGGCAGGAGGTAAATAGCGGGGACGGCCAGACGAGGCTGCACAGTTTTGACTAGAAAGCGACCCTGTGTGGTGCCGCAGACCAATAGATTACCGGACTGCTCCCAGGGCTCTCCCTCTAAGCCTCTGGTAAGTATAGAGACTGGACGTCCAAGGTTAGTGGGCAAGCACTTTGCCATTTCGGGACAGATGTCCGCAGAGACACCCTTTGGCTGATGGAGCTCAACCCAGCCCATCAGATTTGTCTGTTTTGAAATTTTGTTTTGAGTTAAGGATTTTTTTTATTTGGGGGGGGGGTGGTTTGATTTTTTTTTTTTTTTCAAGATAGGGCTTATCTGTGTAGCCCTGATTGTCCTGGAATTTACTATATAGGCCAGGCTGGCCTTGAACTCAAGAGATCCACCTGCCTCTGCCTCCCAAGTGCTGGGAATAGAGGCATGCACTGCCAACCCCACCCCCAACTTTGTGTTGTGTTTTTAACTTCTGAGCCCTTGCAAGTCTTCAGCTTGATGAGGATGCTGAAGTTAGTGCCTGGACTTACATGAGCTCTGAAATAAGACCTGTGACACCAGAGAAGCTTGGTGACCACATTCTGCAGAGCAAAGTGATGGAAGCCAAAGGCCTGGTGGAGAGGCGTGCTCTGTAGCCGCTGAGATTTCCTAAACTGGAGATGTTTACATATAGTTTCCTACAGAAGCCTGGAAATAGTTAAACTGATTGGTTTGTTTTCGTCTTTTAGGGTTTTGTTGTTGCTTATTGAATCAGGGTCTTGCTGGCTGTCCTGAAACTCAGTTATGTAGACCAGGCTGTTTCTGCCTCCCAAGTGATGTGATTAGAGGTGTGTGGCCACCGTGCCCACTTTGTGACAAGTTCTGAAATTCTAGGCAAGGAAGTGTTTGCTTCAGTATCAGTTCTGTGTGGACAGACGTGACTGCTTCTTACAAGTGGCAGAGAGGGCTTCTAAGACTACACAGCCCATCAGATTTCTCGTCCTCAGTTTCCCCTTTGGTCTAACTGGGTCTAGTCTGCCATTTTTATGCAGTAAGCTGCTCTCCTGTGCTGCCGAGACACAGATATAGAGGAGGGTGGCTGGGTTGGAAACGGGCAAGGTACACCCTGCTCTGGTGTTCTGAGGTTAGCAAGAATAAGTTTTCAGGAATGGAGTCCCATCCTCTGCTGCAAAACCAGTGTGTGCTGCTCACAGCAGTAGCGCTGGACTGTTGTGGAGATCGGCTCTTAGGCCGGGATGACAAACATGTTTGTAACAAAGTGTTTCCTATCTCAGAAACGACTGCCAGTGGTTCTGGAATGTAACCTGTGCTCCAGCAGAGTGTTCTAATAGATACCCATTTCAGCAGAAAATTGAGGAACTGCAAAAAGTAACATTTTTTTTGAGACAGGGTTTTTCGAACTCAGGCTAGCTTTGAACCCAGAGATCCCTCTGCCACCTTATCTACCTCTGCTTCCCTAGTGTGGGGTTTAAAGGCTTGTGCCACCACAGCCCAGTGTAAAAAGGTAGCTTTTAAAGGACCCCAGACCCGGGAAGATGACGCTTTAGTGAGTTTGGATTCCCCGCACACAAGCCTGGTGTGGCGACAGGCGGCTATAATTCCATCGCTGAAGCTCACCCAGTAAATTCCTGGTTCAGTGAGAGAGCAAGGCATGGTAGCACACTTTTAATCCCAACAGAGACAGGCAGGTGACACAGTTCAAAACCAGCCTGGTCTGCATAGCAAGTTATTATGTGGAGACTGTATGAACAAGCACATGTGCCTCTGGTGCACGTTCGTACACACGCATCTGCTCACACACTGGGGGAGGAAGAGGCGTGGCTTTTTTCGGCGACTCCCCGGTGCTGTCTTGTTTGCCTTTGGGCCCTTCTGAGGAAGCAGGCTCCCTGAGTGGCCTCCTGTGGAGGAGGAAGTCAACAGTCTGAAGATCCCACCGGCTTTGCTGGGCTCAAGTCAGGTCAGTGTTGTGCTGAGCCCCTGGCTTCTGGGCCACGTGTCATTGCGTGGTGACTAGTGAAGGCAGTAGTGAAGACTGAAGAGTCCAAGTTCATCTCACCCAGAGACTGGTTTTTACTTTTGACACAGTCAGTGTATGTAACCTGCTTCTCAACCCCAGGCTAGCCTTGAGATCTTCAGCCTTAACAAACAAGGAAACTCCACCACATCTGATAGTTGTGTAGGGAGATTTTGTTAGGTTTTTGAGACAGGGTCTCAAGTAGTTTAGGCTGGCCTCATACTTGCTTTGTCATCAGAGATGGCTTTGCACTCCTACTGGTTCTGCCGCTACCACATGCTGGCATTATAGGTGTGTACCACCCTGCCTTATCAGTGTTGGGGGTCAGGTCCTGCTGGGCAAGAGTCACACCCTCCTCCTGGCTCCTCCCTCTAGAGCCTGTCTGCTCTGAGCTAGTTGAGAGGGCAGCTCAGCACACAGCTATGTCTGTTCCCTGGCAGAAGATCACCCAGCAGGCTTTTCAAATCCCAAGTTTCTCACAGGAATGCTAGATCATACTGTGGAAATTTATTTCTATGTAAATGGCAAATTTCTGAAGCCAGAAGCCATCTGGCTGGGATGCTGGGCACTGTGGGAAATACAAGTTTTGATTCCAATGAGGAGTCAGATTGAACTTGGGAATGCATTTTTGGGGGACATATGTATTGTTTTGCTTTTTTTTTTAAATATTTATTTATTTATTATGTATACAATATTCTGTCTGTGTGTATGTCTGCAGGCCAGAAGAGGGCATCAGACCTCATTACAGATGGTTGTGAGCCACCATGTGGTTGCTGGGAATTGAACTCAGGACCTTTGGAAGAGCAGGCAATGCTCTTAACCTCTGAGCCATCTCTCCAGCCCCTATTGTTTTGCTTTTTGAGGCAGGGTTTCTCTGTGTAGCCCTGGCTGTCCTGGACTCACTTTGTAGATCATGTTGGCCTCGAACTCACAGAGATCTGCCTGCCTTTGCCTAAGTGGTAAGATTAAAGGCATGCACCACCACTGCCCGGCTGAACTTGGGAAGTTCCTGAGCCTATGTTTGCTCTCTATTCCTCATCCATCTCTGGGCAGCAATATGAAAACAAGGGAAGGCAAAGCAGCGCTGCTGACCCACAGACATGGATCATAAACTTAATGTCCAGCAGAGAGGTCACCAAAGAGTGAGGTAGCCTGCTGATGGGAAACGCTAGCTGAGAAGAGGCCGTGGGTCTCTGTGGGGAAGCACCCTCAGCCACTCAGCCCTGACTGCCGTCTTGTGGATTGCTGCACCTTCTGTGGTGGTGTCTGCTGTGGACAGTTGTCTGCGCAGCGGGAGACTGACGGGTTCTACTCTGTCCTGGGACTCTGTGCCTCAGGCTGAAAGGTCTGAGAGTAGGAAGCTGGAGGGGAAGTTTTCATCTTTGAAGATCTGAGTTATGATTTTCTTTGCCAGGGAAATAATGTCCTGAAAAGGGAAAAGACAAAAGACAACTAGGTTATAAAATGACATTTTAAAAGCCAGTTAAGCCGGGTGGTGGTGGTGATTAAGCCTTTAATCCAAGCCCTCGGAAGGCAGAGGCAGGCAGATCTCTACGAGTTCCAGGCCAACCTGGTCTACATAGCAAGTTCAGGATAGCCAGGGCTATTATGTAGAGAAACCTTGTTTCAGAAAACAAAAAAAAAAACAAAAAAAACATACAAACAATTAAAAAAAGCCAATTAAAAAAATACAGGCCCAGCAAGATGTCCTAGTGAGTAAAGGTGCTTACTGCCAAGCCTGACAACCCAGGTTCAATACCAGGGACCCATATGGTGGAAGGAGAGAACCAGCCACTTTCCTGTGTTGTTGACCCCCACAAACGTATACACACACACACAAAATAAATGTAAATGTGCGTGTGTGTATGGTCACACTTCAGCTTCACCCTTGCCCAGGAAGGAATTCCTGATTCTAGTGTAGCAAAAGATGGATTCACCAGCATCACAGTGACCATGACGGCGTGGGTGGAGAGAGTGAGTTTCCTGCGATTCAGTGATCCCACTCAGAAGCAAGTTAGAACAGCATCCGAGTGAGTATCCACAGGTAACGGGGTCAGCTTAGAAAGTGGCGCACCAGCTGCTGGCGTGGGGCTCCTGGCAGACACTGGAGACACCCAGCTGTGCTTTTCCCGTGTGATTCCTGCTCCAGGAATCTGTCTCGAAGTACTGTCTGTGGTTCCCTCCTACTATGGCAGAACTGCCTTTGGACAGACTCTCCAGTGACCTGAAGCACAGGGGTGGGGCTGCCCTGTATGGAGCAGGGGCTGCGTTGATGATCACAGCACTGCCACCACTGTTGTCCTCATCACCATCCTCGCCACCACCACCACTATCACCATCACCATCGCCTTCCTCATCACCACCGTCCTCACCACCACCGTCCTCACAATCCTTACCACCCCCATTACCATCATCACCATCAGAGCCAAGGACTGAAAGGCACATCCCCAAATAAGAATTGATTAAATGAATATAATTCGTGTGCACACTGACCACCTGATCCTCAATAAATGGCATGTATTAGAGATGACACTTGGGAAGAAGAGGTGGTTTCTGGTTTTTGTTTGTTTTTCTCTTAACTACTAAGTTATTTTGGAAGATAAAAGGTAATAAAGAAATCAATACAAGGATGGGTGTGGTGGCTATGCCTTTAGCCCTAGTACTTAGGGAGATAGAAGCAGGTGGATATCTGTAAGTTTGGGGTCAATCTGGTCTACATAGTGAGTACCACGTCAGATGGAGCTACATAGAGAACCCTGTCTCCATAACAAAAAAGAAAAGGAAATCAATACCCCATGCTTCCTTTGGGATCACTCTGAAACTGCTCCATCAGTGTCTCCAGCTGTACAGGAACAGAGATAAACTTCGTATTTGGTATGCCAAATAATGCTAGTATTTCTACGAGATTATCTTTATTGAGCATTGCTTTTTTTCCCTCCGTGGCTTATTTTCTGCTGCATTAGGTTTTCTGAGATGTTTCTTACAATCTCTTAAAAGTCTTCCTGAGAACAAGAGTCCACATCATGACAGTGGCTTCCGAGAATGCTCTGTCCTGCTTGCCAGGCTCCACCGGTTTGTGAGAGTAACCCTTGGCGGTTTCACCTCTCAGAACCTAGGTCATGAACCCCAAACAGCCCCCTCCCCTGAGTCAGCCCCTGCAGACTCACCTGCCCGAAGTGTGCCTCGCCAGGCCTCAGTCACGTCAGACTTCCTCTGGAAAGAGAACAGAAAGCCCTGCATGTTCCGCCACCATCAGATTCTTTGTTTTCTGCCTTTTTGTTGTTTGTTTATTTTTGTTTTGTCTTCTCTGTGTAGCCCTAGCTGTCCTGGAACTCTGTGGACTAGGCTCAGACTCAGAGATCCGCCTGCCTCTGCGTCCCGAATGCTGGCATTAAAGGTGTGCGCCACCACTGCCCTCCTAGATTCCTCTTTCTAAAGAGCCTCTTGTTGGCATTCAAGAAGAGGGCTGCATTTTCAGCTAGTAATTGTAAATTAGGAGATGGCCGTCCTCACTGGGATGCACTTTGTGCTTACAGTGCTAACACCCTGCACTGGCCGCTGTGGCCGTAGGACCTGAAGTGCTGGAGATGTCACGCGCTGGGCCAGGAGGGGAGAGGAAAAAGAGAGACACAGAAGCCGGGAGAGACGATCCTCACACCCAGCACAACCTCCCCTTTACTAACTAATACAGTCAATACGACGTTAACTCACTAAGCATAGAACTTGATGGCTTTCGCGCTTGGATGCAGAATTTGAAGTTCAGTGCCTAAAAAGTTGGCTCAGTGGTTAAGAGCACTTCCTGTTCTTAGAGGACGCAGGTTCCATTCCCAGCACCTAGAGGGCAGCTCACAGCTGTCTGTAACTCCACTCCCAGGTGATCTGACACCCTCTTTTGGCTTTCATGTATTTCACACATATAATGCACAGACATACATGAACTAAAACACCCATACACATAAAAGAAAAAGAAAATAAGCCAGGTGGTGGTGGCATGCATCTTTAATCCCAGCACTTGGGAGGCAGAAGCAGATGGATCTCTGTGAGTTTGAGGCCAGCCTGATGTACAGATAGAGTTCCAGGACAGCCAGGGCTACACAGAGAAACCCTGTCTCTATAAAACATGGGGCAAAAGGTTAAGAAAAATTGTTCAAAAAATCTAGGCAGCTAGAGAACAGTGGAGTCAAACACTGAAATCCTGGTCTGACAGCAAAGCCCATGCTTCCTCTTCCAGACCCAGGAAGCCAGTAGTTCCACGGCTGCTCAAAACACTGCTGCCCTGGCCAAGAAGGGAAGGGGCAGAGCTGAGCCAGGCTCCTTGTCCTGCTCTGTGCTCCAACTGGAGGCTGTTAGCCAGCTGTGCTCACTCGGCTACAGCAGAAACCGAGCCAGCCCTGGGCGACAGCGCGGGAATGTGTAGCCAGCCCACACCTTTGGTCACAAGATGCCGCGCAGGCTCACGTGAGGTCCTTGGATAATTGTGTATTGAAAACCACACAGTGCACCTGGGTGCCTATAGTGCCCTTCAGCAAAACAACCCCGGTTTCACAAGGATTCTTCACGGTCAAAGCACTTCTAAAACACTCTGCTCGTCCCAGTGTCTACCCCATACTGTGATTCTGCCGAATTCCTCCAGGAGAAATGAAGAGAGTCAGTGGAGAGACTGAAGACAGTGCATGGGAGTAAGAGGAGGGGAAGGCAGCGACTGCCATTTTACTCAGTAAAGGCCATCTGTGTAAGCTATTCTTCAGAGAAAGTTTGTGTGGACAACTGCTTCTCTTTGACTAAGTAAATCTTCTGGAAGAGAAAGAATGTGAACAGTTAAGAACACTTGCATATACGAAGACAAATTTAAGGATCGCTTTGCCTGGAGGCTGAGAACTACGCACAGGCACCGTGCTCCCAACTGCCCCTACGCCTTCCTGGAAAAGCCTGAAGTCTGGAGAAGATGCTGCTGGAGCCCTACATTGCCCCCCATGCCCTGCAAATGGTAATGACATCGGCCCCTGCAAGCAAACCTCACCCGGGTCTTGCATGGGAAAGGCATCTTGTAAAGACCAGCTTCAGTTTCTTTCCCTAAATGGGGTCCTGGGGGGGACCCAGTAGCTTCAGGAGCCCCCCGTGAAGGAAAGAGATGTTGATCTAGCTCTGGCAATGTACAGTTCCCATCACTAGTCACAGAGATGGCCGGGCCAGGCTCAGCTAGAGAAGGCTGTCCTCTAGGCTTCCAGTCTCTCCTATGCAGGAGTGTTCTTGGTCCCGGGCCCCGCAGGGGCAAGAGGCTGCCTACTGTCTCTCGTCCAGATCCAAGGGCTGGTGTGTTGGCACTGCTCTCAGGAGGCTGGTGAGATCCCTAAGGTGTCTCAGGCATGATGGTGGCCCCTGCTAGGAAGAGCATTTCGGAATTCCTTGGAGCTGTGAGGCAGATGCTGTCCTCTGGCTGGGTTAACGCTGACACTGGAAAGAGCCCCTCAGGACAGTGCAGATGGGCAGAAAGTCCCAGACAACAGGAGGCCAACACAAAGCAGTCAGGGAAGGTTTCCCACAGGTCCGTGTCCATATTGCCCCAACTTTCCACCTCCACACCCCCGTCAGAAATAGCTGGCTGGTGACAAATTGAGTTGGATGGACAAGAGAGAAGAGGGGAGCCTGGGAGCCCATGTGCCCCATCTCCTCTTCAGGAGCTGTCCGTTCTGTACCGTCATGTTTCCAAGACCACACGCACACTCCCCACCCCCAACCTTCTCCATCAGCTTGTGCCTTCTACCCCACCTTTCTGTCCACCTGACAACACCACCATGACTTAACCCAGCTTCAGTGCCTCCTGGGAGGACCCCATCTGCCCCCCTCAGCCGTATTAAGGCTGTCTCCTCCTCATGGGCCTTTTCTGAATGGCCTGCCAGCTTTCAACCTTCCACTGACGGCCTTGCTCAGGGAGGACAGGCAGTTCCTGGTCTTGTCTCAACTCCAGGGACCTAGACACACTTGACTTGTGAGAGCCACGATCTCACCCACCTCTCCACCCACAGTCCCAAGAGGAAGACAGATACCTTTCCCATCTGCCTTGTAGTCATCAGGGAGGAGCTTGTCCTGTCGATAGCCCAGCACGAAAGCCAAGAAGGAGAGGATGAGAGCGTCTCCAATACTAAGGATGGCCAGCATGAAGGCCCAGCGGATGGTGCAGTGGCCCAGTGTGTACTTGCCAGTCTGCTCACCACACATGCGCCGTACCTCGCTGGAGTCCCAGCCGTCGGGGTAGACCAGGCATCCGATCATTAGGCCTGTGGCTGAGAAGACAAGAGGGCAGCAGTGGGGTCAGACTGGACATGCCCCTGACGCCTCCCTCACCTTGAACTACTCTTGTCACCTCCCTGGTCTCTGGGCCAGCATTGGGAACCGCTTCTTCCATCCATGTAAAATACAAGTGGAGCCGGGCGGTGGTGGCGCACGCCTTTAATCCCAGCACTTGGGAGGCAGAGGCAGGCGGATCTTTGTGAGTTCGAGACCAGCCTGGTCTACAAGAGCTAGTTCCAGGACAGGCTCCAAAACCACAGAGAAACCCTGTCTCGAAAAACCAAAAAAAAAAAAAAAAAAAAAAAAAAATACAAGTGGAGAAGCTGAAGCTCACCAAGCTGAAGTCCTGGGAACTAGCCATCAGGATAGCTGCATGGCGGGGCTCCTCAGCCAGGCGGCTCTGCCCCACACCAGGCGGCTCTGCCCCACACCAGGCGGCTCTGCCCCATACCAAGTGGCTCCACCCCACACCAGGTGGCCCTCTGTCCCTCTTCCAATCTCACCCTGAATTCAGCAAGACAAAGCCTACTCTGGTTCCAGAGCCCTCCAGCATCTGGTCCCAAGATGCATCTCTTCTGAGAGATGCTCGCTCTCCCTCCGTCTCTGAAGTAAGTATAATGATGGGGCAGGAGCTGGTCTGGATCAGCAAAACCTTTCATTGTTCAGGGTACACCTCACAACTCGGGCCCTTTGACTGAATACGGGGGCCAGCCACATCCCTGGCTTCTCACTTCCTTCAAGCGCCCTCCTTGCCCTTTCCCTCTGCAGTAAAGACTGGCAAAGGCGGCCATGAGCAGTGAAAGTAGAGTCCTCAGTGATGCCAGAGGGCGCACAGCACAAGAGAGAGCTGTGCTTCGGTCCACTGCAGTTGGAAGTCTCAGCACACATGCCTGTGGGTTCCACATTTGCCAAATACTTATAAAATGCTTCTCATGTGTTGTATCATCCTCACCGGTTCTCCAAGGGATGGGGGCACCATCACCAGACCCTACAGATCAGGTGTACCAGGCTGAATGCTTTGAATCCCCCCAAACCTGTATATTTGAAATTCTAACCCTTGGAATGTGGGACTTTGGGAAGTAATTAGCTCATGAGACAAAGCCCCCATACATGGGATTAGCACCCTTATAAAAGGGACCCAGAGAGACTTCCTACCTTTCCTTCCATTGTGGGCAGAGTAAGAAGTCAGCTGGAAGATGACACCGGAGCCACCCTGTACCAACCTGAGCTCAATCATCCAACCTCCAGGGCCATGAGAAATAAATGCCCCCTCGCCTCTGGGAATTTGTTATAATAACCTAAATTCACTAAGATGGGAGGTTACCAAGATTCAGGGAAGGCAACTGAGCCCATGCTTGGCCCACGCCCCGAGCTCCATCAGTCTTTGAAGCTTCATTCCCTCAGTTTTGTAAGGGCGTCAATTTTGCTCTCCCTTACCCTTGCCCTGTTCTCTGGCTTTGTGGAAAATTTTGAGGTAACAGATTCATGGGGCACACCTCTTCAACCCTCCCCTCTCCTCTCAACACAGGATGGAACACAACACCACCTCTGCCCTCAGCCCATCAATGCTTCATGGGATGGCACCCGGCCACCTCTGGTATCAGTATTTCAGCTCTGTGGCCCAGATAGAATCTGGCTCAAATTACTGGGGGGCTCCTCCACCCAGGCCTTCCTCCTGCTCCTGCTCAGCAAACACACCTGTTGAGAGATGCTGGCATGGGGGCAGGCAGCGCTGGGAAAGGATGGCGTATCTCTAGCATCCTGTATCCCCGAGGGGCAGAGCAGCTGGCAAGCACACCCACCCACTACTCTTTGGAGCTTCATGGCCCCTTACTGATATAACCACTGTTGTCCCTGATATAACCACCATGGCCTGCTGTCCCTACCGCTCAGCAAGGCTTGGAGATGGCTTGGGTTGGAAGGAACTCAGGCCAGGTGTGTGGCCTGCATACCAGACAGGGGATTATTAAGTTTGTCTTTGCTTGCTAAGGGCTCACCAAGCCTGAATCAGGACCTTGTAAATGCAGGAACACTCACTACTGGGTTGTGTGAGGCTTCTCCAAAAAATGAAGTATTTTGTGAATCGTGCTTATAAAATATGGGTTTCAATAAAAGCAGTCTTAGAAATTGGGCAATGGTGACCCATGGCTTTAAGTCGAGCACTCAGGAGGCAGAGGCAGGTAGAGCTCTGTGAGTTCAAAGCCAGCTAAGTCTACAGAGTGAGTACCAGGACAGTCATGGATACATAAAGGAACCCTATCTCAAAACAACAACAACAGAAACAGTCTTAGAATACATCTAATTTGGGAGAATCCTTAATTCTCCCAGGCTCTGATTTGCTCTCTGGCCTGCTATAGCCTTGACCAACTCTAACCCCCTCTGTCAATCTAGTTCCTCATCCATAGCTGGAGTCCCCTTCAGCTCCGCCGGCCTGAAATTCAGACTCCTGTTTTTGACACCTTCTGACCCCCGCCAAGGTAATACTACTTTAACTAAAGATAGCCCGATGCTTTGACTCCAGCCGCCAATCTTTTTTTATTTTTTTTTTATTTATTTTTGAGACAGGGTTTCTCCGTAGCTTTTTTTGGTTCCTGTCCTGAAACTAGCTCTTGTAGACCAGGCTGGCCTCGAACTCACAGAGATCCGCCTACCTCTGCCTCCCGAGTGCTGGGATTAAAGGCGTGCGCCACCACCGCCCGGCTCCAGCCGCCAATCTTCACCACCGCTGAGGGGCATCTGTGGGTGCTAAGGGACTAAGAGACCAAAGGCTGCTGAAGGGTATCAGTCATCTCTTCCTGAACTCCAATGGAGACCAAGATCAACTGACCCAAGGACCAAGAGGGTCACCTGAGACTGGAGCAGAAAAGTGGGCAGGGGATTGCCTTGCCTTGGGACCCTCACAAGCAACTGCCTACCTGATACGGTGTTAAACGGCCCGGGGTAGCCTGTGCACCTCCACCTCAGAGAACGGTGTCCTACTTACTGACTCAATACAGAGCTCACATCCAGGGACAGAGATGCTCACTCTACATTAAAAGAGGGGAGCTTGAAAGGAAGTCGCTAAGGAGAGAGGTCTCAGCCAGTCTACCAGAGGCACTCCAAAATCCTGGAATCTTCCATGGGAGTAGTTGGAGGTAGGAAGAGGCAGGGAGTGAGGGTGGAGATCTGGGAAGTGCCATCACCATAGCCTTGGGATTGACTCCTAGCCCACAGGGCAGCCGCCTTCCCCCTCCCTCTGGAAGCAGCAGTGGGTGTTGGTACTTGTGATTGTGTCTACCAAAAGCTGTGTGGCCCTCTCTAAGGTACTTCTCTCCTGCTCAGAGCTTAATAGCATGTGTGGACCAAACAGTGCCACAGCATGGACCCCCCGCCTTTTAAAAATACTTTTAGTTGTGTGTGTAAGAGCACGTGACACTTACACTCACGGGCTCCTGCCACCATGTGAATCTGGAGGTCACAGGACAATGCAAAGGTGTTTGTTGGTTCCTTACATTATGTGAGTCCTGGGGGTTGACCTGGGGCGTCAGACATGGCAACAGAACCTTCACCACGAGTCACCTTGCAGTCCCTGCCCCATCCTTTCTATGATTCACAGATTTTCTTCCTTAAGACAGAGTCTCGCATTGGGACTGGAGAGATGGCTCAATGGTTAAGAGTACTGGCCGCTCTTCCAGATGACCCAGATTCAATTCCCAGCACCCACATGGCAGCTCACAATTGTCTGTAACTCCAGTTCCCTGGGATCTGACACCTTCAAATCAATACACATAAAATAAAGTTAAAATAAATTTAAAAAAAAATACACAGAGTCTCACAATGTAGCCCAGGCTGGGCTGGAACTCACAGCTGTCCTCTTGTCTCTGTCTCCCAGGGGCTGGGATCATCGTGCTCAGAATCTTCCGTGGAACTTTGAGTAGAAGGAATGAGAAGCCAAGTGTGCCCTGGGTCTGCCCCACCCGCCCTCCCACTGTGCCCTGGGTCTGCCCCACCCGCCCTCCCTCTGACCCTGCTCACCTGCAGCCAGCTGCATCCAGGCGCAGATCTTGTAGACCGTGGCCGTGTTACAGATGAAGAATAGGCTGAAGCAGATGATGGAGCCAATGATGAGGAACATGGCCAAGGCCACGAAGAACATGGCGGTCTTGAAGGCTCTGGAGGGGATAGAGGAGAAGTCCAGAGGGCCACCCTTGCAGATGAGTTCAGACGAGAGCACGTTGCCCACGCAGTAGGAGAAGAGGCCGAAGTAGCCTGCCTGTGGTGTGCTCACACTGTCGCCTATCCAGTAGGGCTGGATGAAGAGAGCCATGACCAGCACGGAGAAGCAGATGGTGAGCGTGCCCCACATCACTCCCACGGCGCGTGAGTTGCGCACGTAGTTGGTGTGGTAGATCTTGGCGGCCTCCTGCGCTGGCAGCAACTTCACCATGGCGAAGGCCGCAGGACTGGGATAGGGGCACTGGCTGGTGGAGGGTGTACAGCTCTAGGGAGCAGGGCCTGGTGTGGGTCACTTCAGCCTGGTGTGAAGAGCAGCCTGAGGTCAGCGTGAGCGTGCCCAGGGCTAGCCAGGAGCGCAGCAGGCCAAGGTCAACCTTGACTTCGCTGAAGGCGCTTCCCAGGACCCTGTGTCACCCCAGACGCGGAGGGTCTCAGGTCTGAGGCCTCCTCTAGGTCGGTCAAAGTCTGGGCTTGCGCCGCCGCCCTCCCCGCACCTCCGGCTCCCAGTCGTAGGCCACGCCCGGCTAGCTCTGTGGAGCGCGCGTTTCAGCACCACGGCCAGCGCCAGGGCTCGGGGGCGGGGCCTGGGAGGGCGGGGCCGGCGAGCGCGGGGAGCCAGGAGGGGAAGCAGGCCCGAGACCCAACCCTCTCTCTCTCTTCCTCCCAGAGGGTGCGGCCGCGGCTGGGCTGTCACATTCCTCCCGCTGAGCCCAGCAGTAAAAACGCTTCCCGGCCTCTACACCCGGACTCCCTAGACATCCTTCCGGGACCTCACCTCCCACCCTCACCACCACCACCAACCCTGTATGCCGAGGGCTGCAAGTTTCCACTATGGTTTCGGCTCGGTCTTCCAGCCAATGATTGCCACGAGCCTGGTGGGGGCTAGATAACGTCCCCCCTTCAAAGACCATGAACCTCAGCTACTGCAATAACCCCGGCAACTATAAAGAAGAGCAAAATGCATTCCCAGACCACACCAGAGCTCGGTGTCCAACACCCGGCCTTGCTCCTCGAGTTTCTGTTTTTGCTGAAGATTTCTTTTTAGGAATATTTTTTTTTTTTTTTTTTCTGGATGTGGTAGCTCACACCTGTAATTTCAGCACTCAGGAGGTGGAGGCAGGGGCATCAGAAGTTCAAGGAGAGGCTGCGTAAGATCCTGCCTCAAACTGGGAGGTGGTGGCACATGCCTTTACCCCCAGGAAGGCAGAGGCAGGTGGATCGCTGTGAGTTTGAGGTCAGTCTGGTCTGCGGATCGAGTTCCAGCACAGCCAGGGCTACACAGAGAAACCCTGTTAAAAAAAAAAAAAAAAATCCTGTCTCCAAAAAAAAAAAAAAAAAACAACAACAAAGAAATAAACCATATATGCCCAGCTTTAGTAGATAATTACATGACTAATGTAAAGAGTTTATTCTTATAAAAGAATAAAACCGGGCTAGAGAGATGGCTCAGCGGTTAAGAGCACTGGCTGTTCTTCCAGAGGAACTGAGTTCAATTCCCAGGAACCACATGGTGGCTCACAACCATCTGAAATGAGATCTAGTGCCAGGCCATCTCTTCAGCCCCTCATACAATGTTTTTTAAATATTTTCTTATTTTTGTCTAATGTCTAGTGCAGGTGTTTTGCCTGCATGTGTGTCTTTGCCCTCCAGAACTGGAGTTACAGAGGTTGTGAGCCACCATGTGGGTGCTGGGAATTGAACCTGGGTGTTCTGGAAGCCAGTGGGCTTGCCTACTGCACCGTCTCGCCAGCCCCTCCCCCAAGACATTTTAGAAATGATGATAATAAATTCAGCAAAGGATGGGAAACATCCAGAATTCACACACTGCTGGTGGGGCTGTGCTGCTGGTGGGCTGTGCATCAGTTCAGCCCCGTGGAGAACTGAGCCTCTCGGAGACTGAAATAGGCATCGGCCATGTGACCCAGACATCTGACTCCGGGGTATTTCACCCAGAGAAACGAACATTTGTGTTTACACAAAAACCTTTCCATGTTGTCGTCTTAGTAAGGACTTTTATTGCTGGGGTAAAATACCACCACCAAGAGCAACTTGTGGCGGAAAGGGTTTGTTTGGCTTACACTTCCACATCTCTGAAGGAAGCCAGGACAGGAACTGAAACACCAGGAACCTGGAGGCAGAAGCTGATGCAGAGGATATGAAGAGTGCTGCTTACTGTCTTGCCCCTTGCAGTTTCCTCAGCTTCCTTTCTGAGAGCATCCAGGACCACCAGCTCCGGGGGCACCACCCACAATGGGCTTGGCCCTCCGTCATCAACACCAATTTAGAAAATGCCCTAGAAGCCTGCCCGCAGCCCAGGATTACAGGGGCATTTTCTCTATTGAGGATTCCTTCTCCCTGATGACTGTAGTTTGTGTCAAGTTGACACTGAGCTGCTGCTGTGAGCCACAAGCCCTATACAGTAGAAGTACAGCTGACAGATCACTGGACAAACTCACGGATGGGAGTAGTGAGAAACCCAATTTGCAGAGCTTCAGGAAAACCTGTCTTTTGAATAGTTACTGTCAGTTCTGTGGAAATCTTGTGAACCCATAGCCTTCCTCCTTCTCATAGTGGAATTCATCCCAAAACACCCCAGCAGGGTATAAGCCATTCTTTAAACTGACTTTTAATAGAAATGGGTTAATATAAGATGTAAGAGCTAGCTAGAAATAGCCTGAACCATTGGCCAATTAATCAATGTTGTAATTAGTATAATTTCTGTGGTATCATCCGGGTCAGGGTGACTGGGAAATGGAAAAGCAGTCTTCGTTTACATAATCTACTGGCCTTTGCTGTGTCTTAACAAGCTATGAATATTCTGCACTTAACCAACTTTTATTTGACACAAGGTCTTAGGCTAGGAAATTAGCGATTTGTACTTTTACCCCTTAAAAAATACAGGAAGAAAAGCTTAGATCACAAAACTAGCCCCAGAGAAAGGAATTCCTTCTCACCTGGGTGCCAGTGGATACAACACCCCCACAGCACCCTGCTTAGCTTGGGGGGGGGGCATGCAACAGCTGCTTATGCTGGTTGCCATGACTACCACAAACACTGTGTTTCCAGACACTGCTGGAAGTACTTAGAGTACACAACAACTAGCCAGTACATGTGCATACACTTTGTATAGCAATTGCCCCCAATTTTTTGAGGGGGTTCAAGACAGGGTTTCTCTGTAGCTTTGGAACCTATCCTGGAACTCAGTCTGTAGACCAGGCTGGCCTCAAACTCACAGAGACTCGCCTGCCTCTGCCTCTTAGGTGCTGGGATTAAAGGCGTGCGCCACCACTGCCCTGTGCCCCAAACTTTTAAGAAACAATCCAAATGCCATATATCTGTGCAGTTCCATTGTTCACTAGACCACTGCTGAGCAGTAGAGAGAGGCCATCTTGGCAGCTGAGTGTGGCTGTGTGCACCTGTCATCCCCGTTCCTGGGAGACTGAGAAAAGAGGATCACCGCGAGCTTGAGGCCAGCCTGGGCTACAGAGTGGAACCCCACCTTGAAAACCAGCATGCAAAGACTTAGAGCATGTTCTTAGCATTGTCCTGTGGCCAATCCTAAGAACAGAACCCTATAAGCATTGAAAAGAGAGAAAAAGGAGGAAGTGGAGGGGTGGGGCACCTGTCACAACATGTAAGGAACTCACTGCACTAAGTCACAGAAGCCTGATCACCAAAAACAGAGCAGTATGGGACTCCATCCATATGGCCCTGGAGGCTAAACTACAGAGGAAGAAAACAGACTTGTAACTGTTTCCATGTGGTAGGGGTAGGTGATGAGGGATACTGCAAGGGAGGTCTCTGTAGAGTGAGGATATTTGTTAATCCCAAAGATGTAAGGAGAAAGACCACTGACCCAAATCATTATGGTCGAGTTAATTAAAGCAAACAATTAATTAAAGCAAGCTTTCTTTTTCATTCATGTACACAGGCTTCTCTCCCCCTAAAGGGTGCAAGAGGTCAACATTGGGCCTGAGGAAGACAAGGTTTTTATAGCTCACGGGTACAGGGGGGTCTCTATATCCCAAAATAGGTGGGGTTACAAGAACAGAACATAGCTGAACCGCTTAATCATCACAACCTCCTGAAACAGAGACATGATTGCAGGGTTGGCATAAGAAGGTAGTCATAACAGCAGGTAGTCATAACAACATGGTTATAACAACCTTTTTTTAAGATTTATTTATTTATTATGTATACAACATTCTGCCTCCATGTATGCCTGCACACCAGAGGAGAGCACCAGATCTCATTACAGATGGTTGCTGGGAATTGAACTCAGGACCTCTGGAAGAGCAGCCAGTGCTCTTAACCACTGAGCCATCTCTCCAGCCCTATAACAACCTTTTGAAACAAAGGTAGGGCTGCAAGATGGCTATAAACAACTTTTTGAAACAAAAACATGACTGCCAATCCTGGAACAGGCGGTACAGAACCATTTGTAGTTAAGGTTAAAGGTGGAGCATAGTCCTTGAGAAATAGATTTAATCATAAACAGGAATGAGCCTAGTTTGCCTTTCCTATGAGATGACTTGCAAGCTGGTTCATTGTATTCTTTTTCTTTTTCTTTTTTTTTTTAAATATTTATTTATTTATTATGTATACAATATTCTTTCTGTGTGTATGCCTGCAGGCCAGCAGAGGGCGCCAGACCTCTTTACAGATGGTTGTGAGCCACCATGTGGTTGCTGGGAATTGAACTCAGGACCTTTGGAAGAGCAGACAATGCTCTTAACCTCTGAACCATCTCTCCAGCCCCCTCATTGTATTATTTTTCTATTCTATAATTTACGCGCCCATGTAGAATGTACTTTGATCACCCCCACACACATCCGCTCTTACCCCTCCCACTGCACTTCTTCTATTTCTCCTCTTTTTCCTTTTGACCCACAACATTTAATTAAGGTTTCTTGAATAAACATGGCTGGGGTTTGGGTTATTTACTTGAACAAGCCCAATTTCCCTACCAGTGGTTTCACCACCAACGATGCCCTCCGCTAGCAACCAGTAACTGCCAATAGGTCTTCAGGGACCCCACCATCATTGACTGTAGGTTGAGGGAGAGGCCCCTCCGCCAGCAACCAGTAACTGCCAATAGGTCTTCAGGGACCCCACCATCATTGACTGTAGGTTGAGGGAGAGGCCCAAAGATATGCAGGTCCTGTTTAGGTAAGCCTCTGCCGCGATGAGTTCATGCATGGGTGCTGCAGCCATTCATGGCCAGAAGATGGCATCCTACAACCCTTCTTGAAGTTCTTATATTCTTCCTGCCTGCTCTCTTCTCAGAAGCCTTGCAGGGGTCATGGAGATATCCCACTAGGGCTAAGCACTCAGCAGTCACTAATTCTCAGCACTTTTACTATTCTCTGCATGAACCGTTGCACATTGCAGAAGCTTCTCTGAACAAGGTTGAGATAGCGCTTGCCTGCGAGTATGAACATAAATAAATACTCAGACTGTTTGACATCATGTCCTTATAGTGAAACAAAAATAGGAGCCAGTGGAGTGGTGGTGCATGCCTTTAATTC